CAATAAAGTAAAAAAAAAAAAAAAGAATATATATGTTAGTGTTTGGTCATGTAGATAATATCCCTAGAGGGAAACAGAAGAAAATGTGAGCATTTGCTGCTTCTAAAGAGAAAGAACAAGTTAACTTGGAGGAGGAAGGAGGCCTTATTGTTAAGGTCTTATTTAAGGAGATTTGAGTTTTTATTATTTTATATACATATTTTGAATTTTGAATCCCATGCATGTATTATCATTATTATTGTTCTCACCATCTTTTTAGAGACACCCAGGCAGGAGTACAGCTCACTGCAGCCTTGAAGTGATCCTCCTGCCTCAACCTCCTGAGTAGCTGGGATTACAGGTGCATGCCACCATGCCCAGCTAGTTTTTCTTATTTTTTGTATACAGTGGGTCTTGCTATGGTGTCCAGATTGGTCTTGAACTCCTGGATCCAAGTGATTCTCCTTCATCAGCCTCTCAAAGTGCTAGGATTACAAGTATGAGCCACTGCACTCTACTCACATTATTATTTTTATTGTTGTTTGGCAGGCCAGGGGTGGATTCAAACCCGTCAGCTCTAGTGCATGTTGCTGGCACCTTAGCCACTTGAGCTACAGGCTCCAAGCCCACATTATTATTTTTAAAAACCAATGCTTGCAGGTGTGGTGGCTCACGCCTGTAATCCTAGCACTCCAGAAGGTAGAGGCGGCTAGAAAGTGTTCTGCCAGAAATAGCTTGGCCAGAATCTAGCTGCCAAGAAACAGCTCAGGTTCCAGCACAATCTGACTCTGGTGCCAATATCAATCTTCCAGCCAGTGCACTTTCTCACTCTGTATAGACACCAGGGTGTGTCCATGGAAGGAAATATTCCACACCAGGAGACAACTGTCAAAGACTCTTAGCGTCACCTGTGGTAATATTTCAATGTTTCTAACAAGGAGAATGATTCATGACTTGGGTAAGTTCTTAAAAACTGTCACCAGTGGCTCAGCACCTGCAGCTCAGTGGCTAGGGCGCCGGCCACATACACTAGAGCTGGTGGGTTCAAACCCAACCCAGGGCCTGCCAAACAACGACAACTACCAAAAAAAAACAAAA